TAGTTGTTATTGTTTTATATCCACAGCATATATATGCAGTGACGATTGTGATAGGTTATGTTTAGTGTCACCATCTGGTTCTTCGTGTGTTGGGACAAGGATTGGTACAACCGTGTATCCCACTAGTCAACAAACAGCGATCATCTCGCTAACTGCTGAATCGCTGCAAACAACACAGTCAGACGTCACAGAATTCCTATCCGAAACGATTAACGAGGAAGTATCTGAGACTTACACAGTGACTGTCGAGTTCACAGAAGACAAAACTACCCACATGTATAACGCCACGCAACCCACAACAATAATAAAAGATGAACACACAACAATTGAGAAAATAACTGAAGTGACGACAGAAGAGCAAACAACAGACGTAACAGTAACAACAACACCAAGTCCCATAACTGCGTTCACAACGACAACAGTAACCACAAGACAAAATCCCACAACAGCGTCCCCAACGACAACATTAACCACAAGACCAAGTCCTACAACAGCGTTCCCAATGACAACAGTAACCACAAGTTCTGCAACAGCGTCCCCAGCGACAACACAATCAACTCCACTAACCACAAGAAAGACAGGAGCTATTACACAATCGAAACTTCCAAATATCATTCCAGGTTAGTTAGTTGGTTAGTTGTTTTTGTTCAAATGGCGGTGAATCGTCGCGACGCGTTAAGTTCGATAGGAGTCTGAACGCATGTTGCGTCTCGACTACCACCTTTAAAGCAGAACGCTGCACAAAAGTCCAAATAATGTCATTTACTTTATTTGTACGTTTGTGACATTTCATATTATAAGAATGTGGAAAATTGAATAAAAATGTCATGCTACTACAATGTATTTTTGAGCTTGCTCAATGAATGACAGCGAGCATGGACCATGAAAATAAAACGTACATATAGTGTTGACTAATACTAAAACGAATAACTATATGCATATTGTTACTGATTATAATGCTATGTGCTTAATCTGCTCACATGCGATCCAATTCTACAAGTCACTTTTTAAAACCACCAAATTTATATTTTTCAGATGCTTAAAATTAAAGCGGGGGAGTCGTCACCTGCGCCTGCGTCAGATGGCCATAGCGTGTCATTGTTTACAAACAAGCGTCTACCCATGAGCCTTTGCGTTTTAGTGTGTGTTGTTATCGTCGCTTGGGATTCAATTCCCGTGCGTGCGCAGTTGACGACACTCCCGCTTTAAGGATGCTGTACACCTTTTTTTTGCTTTGAAACCCAAAATTCTACTTTTTTGTATTTTTCAATGCTGGACTACAAGGAGCAAACACTCAGTAGAAAAACAAGTGAATTGGATGTTTTTATAGGGTGTAAAAATCAATTTTTGTTAATTAAAAACAAAAGCACATGTCATTGTTTTGAAAGCCATGTTTTAATTAATCAGCCAAAGACATAATAGACAGATAATTTGCATAATAGTCACCACCCATAGCAAATATAAACAGTCTACAACGGGCTTCAAATCATACGATCAAACCAAAACATCTTAAATCAAATCATCTGAAAACTTCAACACTGCGCACTCGTCTGTATTGCTCTACATTCATACAAATATTGTGTAAATATTGTTTTTCTTTTCTAAAAATCAAACTCAACTAAACTATGACGAATAGTGAAAAAATGAGACAAACAATTTGTCAGGTTTGTCACGTGTTAAATTCCAAGACGACTGGACTACATTATTCAATAGTACTTACTGTCATAAAACAGACTACGGTGCAAACAATGTATTTGTTCATTTCAGATGAAAATGCGCCTGAACTGGATCACTGCGATGAGAAAATCACAGCTGAAACTACGAAATTACCGGTCAAGGTGAAGGACTTGACTGGGCCAATATTTATCGACGACGAGGGAAGTGACGTATATGTGACGTCGGATATTTCCGTTATCAAAGTCTGGGGTGAATCTACAGTTACTTATACCGGCTGCGATTCTGCTGGCAATTGCGCTCCCGACACCTGTCAAACGATTGTCGAGGTCATTTGTAAGTAACGTCACTATCGTATTAAAAATGAAACTCGGAAAAAAATAATTTGGGATTTCACAGACAAAATGTTTGACGCGAGGTCACGTGACCAGCCTAATTGTCGTTAGATGTAATAACGTTAGATGTATTCGTTTGTTTAGATCCAAGGTGTCCGTCATTGTCAAACCCCACCAATGGAGAATTACGTTGTACGGAGGTTGAGTTTGAAATATTATGTATGGTGGTGTGTGATCCCGGTTTTGCGCAACCCAATGGTGTTTCCACTGAATGGAGTTGCACTACAAACACTGGCGACGGGCAGTGGATTCCCGGTAACAACGTCCCACCATGTCAGAGTAAGTTACCTTCGAGATATTCTTGTATTGTATATGTCAAGGTTGGGATAATTAATATGCCTTTCTGGTAAATTGCGCCATCTAGCGACAACATTGGTGCTGTGAAGTGTGGGTGTAAGCAAAGTCGCTGAAATGAACAACTCTGGCTGTGTTTTCGTTGGACATCTAAAATACAATAGCTCACCACGATGCTGTGTATATTCTTATACGCCAGAGACGTGTGTTGTCATCAGATATATAAACGGTGTGTTACCCTGTATACTAACCAAATGTCACTTAATTTTATTCCAGAAACCACTAGCAAGCAAGCCGCATTCTCTGGTTCATTTCCATTCGAAGGACGTACTACAGACAGTTTTAGTGTCGAGGTTCTCGGCCAGTCTTTTGCCAAGTCTCTAACTGCAGGCCTCGCAGTATGTGCATCGAAGGTTGCCTATTGCTCCGTATTTTTAGGAGAATCGACTGGGGTTTCTAGAGGAGGGCGAAGTATCTCACAAAAAAGGGAACCTGTCGTGAGAAAACGAGAAACACCAATATCCACCGACTCCACTACAATACTCAATTTTACAATGACAGCTGAACTGTGAGTAACATTACTCTGTCTACTACTCACTCTCAAGTAAAAAAAAATACAGAAAAAAACAA